TGTGTGTATGTGTGTGTATGTATGTATATATTCTTCTGTTCTCTAGCGCTTTAGGGACTTGATCATATGTTTTCTTTAAATATCCATGTCGTTTAGTCCTGTTTGATGATTCCCACCACCACCCACACACTCACTCTCTGTCCCCTTTTATTCATAATATGATCATTTGGGTTCTTTATTAATTCTTCTGACTTTGTATTCATTTAGTTTGATTGATTGATAGATAGCTAAGTGGATTGAGTATATTTGTATACTCGTGTGCTCAAATGTGTTTGTGTTATCGTGTAAGTGTGTGTGCGTGCCTGCATGCGTGCGTGCGTACGTGCGTGAATTGAGCATTCACTTACTCTATCATTACCCATAAGACTATGTAAGTAGTAGCTGGCTGTATTGTTATTTTAATCATTACTTAAAATTTATTGATTATACAATCGAGTAATATTGTGTGTGTGTTATTGTACACTTACGCTCACGAGTGTGTGTGTGTGTGTGTGCATAGGTGTGCTTGTATGTGCTTCAAGTATGTACGCAGACCCACCCACACTCAAACACAAACACATAATATTTGTGTGATTTTTCTTGTGAAGTAGCAGGATACAGCATTCATTATACACTTACAAAAATAATCTTGGCACGTTATATGCACCAACAATAAATGTGACGAGAAACTGTTGGAACGAAGCAATAAATAAACAACCTGTCTATTGCTCAACAAATGTATCAAAGAAAATTGGAGATGGATGGATTAAACACATGTTGAGGAGATCGTTGGATGACATTGCATGCCAGGCTAGCTATCGCTTGAGTGTGGAACTCCAGTTGAGAAACAACGAATTACATACATGGAGGATTTCATCATTAGCTGACGTCAGTTAGAAAACCATTGAAAAACCAATAGAGCCTGCTAGACAGATGTTTCGTCCCCATGGTTCGAGACTCTTCAGCAGTGCGCACACACCACAGGAGGTTCGAATCCAGGAACTTCTGGTTACAAGGCTAACGAGCTCGTAGACCATTAAGCTACTGGGACCCGATCCAATGGCCAGTCCATGAATTCTAACTTCTTCCAATTCACACATGACATAACGCGGCCATTTCGCGATTTCATCTTCGATGAGTTACTGCTTCACTTTCAACCACCTGCTCCCTAATGGTCACGGCTTCCCACTCATACCGTAGGTTAACTGCCTGAATAGGGCTAGTCGCTAGTGAGCATCGCAGTGGTCTACGAACTCCTCTTGTAACCAGAAGGTTCTGGGTTCGAACTCCGGTGGGTGCGTGCTGCTGAAGATTACCAAATTAGGGTGAGGAAACAGCTGTCCAGTACCACTAGCTGGTGTTGCAATTATTCTCTAACTGATATCAGCTCATAATGAAATCCTCCAACTAATGAAACAAAATCCTTACAAAATCAATACTTGAGAAACAAGGAATTTGGCTTGGGGCATCCCTGAGGCTGATATGCAGGAGATCGTTTGAGGAATAAGAGATGAAGGGCCAACTAAAGAGCATTAAAAAAGATTAGGCAGAAGTGTAGATGTGCTGTTGAAGCCCTTGTGTTCCACTCGAAACCCTAGGGGACAATAGGAATAATATATATATAAAGAGATTTGAAGATAGAATCATTGATGGAGGGTCATTCAAAAATAGAGAAAGAATGTTCTGGTTAAGTTCATTCAACATCCAGCATTTCATGTTAGCTTTAGAAAGGAAAGAAAAGAGGAAATTACAGCATGTTCGCCATTGATTGTGATTCTTAGCCATATTGGAGGTCGTCTCGAACTTCAGCTAGACAGTCAAATGGTAGGCTGAACCTTGTTATAACTCCACTGAATTAAGGTAAAACCCCGTCGCCAATTTGTTATAACTGTAGGGAATTAAAGGAAGACGTTTTCACCTTGCTCTGTCTGCGCCTGAACTAATCTGCCTATCTGCTTGTCGTACCTTCCGATTTAGTAAAGCACGCAAATATCAAAAGACAAAGGCTGGACTGTGACTGCGTATTGAAGTGCAACAACGACAAGGAAAGCCATGGTATTTATACATTTTACAACAATATGGACAGCTAACAGCATTTGAAATAATTTATCTTAATAGCCAATAACAAAGTGCGTGAGAGATGATAATATACCATATGTGCGAGATTTGACAGTCAATAACAAAATGTGTGGGAATGATAATATACCATATATACAAAATTAGCAGTCACTACCAAAATGTGTGAGAATGATAATGTACCATATATACAAGATTAACAGTAAATACCAAAATGTGTGAGAATGATAACATACCATATGTGCAAGATTAAACAGTCAATACCAAAATATGTGGGATCCTATCAAACCTACCATCTGTCTGCCTTTTTGTTCCACTCAGTCGCCTACTGTTCATTCAAAGATATGCCTTTTTTCAGCCATTTGTCCCTATATATATATATATATATATATATATATATATATATATATATATATATATATATATATAGTTTTGCTCACTTTCTCCGAGCTGGAGACAGGGAAGACGGCTTAATAGCAAAGCTTTCATTATCTTCTTCTAGACAATCTCGTTTCAGAACCATAATATGATCTCCTAACAACGTTTTTCATGATTGGTTAGTGATTTGGATCTATACTGGTCGTTCTGATTGACTTGAAATTTGACTTTTTCTTATCATAGAGGTTATTCTTTGTTAGCTGGTAAATATGATTGACTCATCATGATGTTGGAGGATTTCATTATGAGCTGACATCAGTTAGAGAACCATTTGATAACCAGCTGAGAGTACTGGACAGATGTTTCGTCCCTACAGAACCAATACTTAAATATTGATCTGATGCTCCCTAGCGACTGACCCTATATTAATGCACTTGCCTGGGGTTCTAGTAGAAAGCCGTGATTGGTAGGGTGCAGCAGGCTGAAGGTGAGGCAGTAACTCTCATCGAAGAAGACATTGTGAAGTTGTAGCGCTATGTTATACGGGAGTTGGCAGAAGTTAGAATTCATAGGCTGGCCACTGGATAGGCGAGTCCCAGTGACTCAATGGTCTACGAGCTCGCTGACCTTGTTATGAGCTTTGTAAACAGAAGTTCTTGGGTTCTAACCCCCTGTGATGGGTGGATACTGCCGATGATTTCCAAACTAGGACGAAACAGCTGTTCAGTGTTCCCCACTGATGTTCAATTGTTCTTCAACTGATATTAATCCGTAGTCAAACTCGTTAATGGATACAACCTTGGTGATATTTTGAATAATACATTGGTTACAGGATTTCATCATGAGCTGACATTGTTTAGAGAACCATTGGGAAACCTGGAAATACAGGACAGCTGATTCGCCCCCCTAGTTTAGGACTCTTCATCAGTATGCACAAAGAACGCCGAGTGGTTCGTCGGTTCTAAGGTGAGGAGGAAATGAGGGATTATGAAAAATCGTATGTCCAGTTGAAGAGGACAGCAGAAAATAGAAGAAAGTGAAGGTGTGTGGTTGAAGCCGTATGTTCCATTCGGAACCCAAAGGAAAAATAATGACAATAATGCATGATGATGCATTTTTTGTTCAGATTAGATACATTTAGTGTTTCTGTGTGACTTAATAATCACTATAGAACATGTTATTTTCGACGACTTTAGAACATTATATTGTAGGTGAACTTGTAGATACTTGTATGAAGTAGCGTCCATAGGATTTTGTCTATTAATCATAGGTACAGGAATCCGAAATTTCTGAAATGTAAGGAAAAGAGATGTGGTGTAGAATGTGCACTTTTGATAGCTAACCGAAGCCTTTGAGCTGTCAATTGTATCATTTGATGCCCCCCTCCCCCACCTTCGATATGGGGGTACGTGTCTTTTCAAAAGGTAGTCCCTCATTAAGATAAAGTTATCAAGATACACATTAGCCGATAAAACTGAATATATGCGTTCTAGTTTATCCTTTAATGTGCTACTCGTCCAAGTTTTAAGAGTTCTTTAAGGCTAACGTTTCACTAGGGAACGTTTATACTGGATAGGAACAAAATTACTGAAATGAAGATATTGTCCACTCCATGTTCGCTTGCGATATATATATGTATACATGGGTCACTTAATTGTTCCATTATCCCTTCTATGCATTGAATTATCTAGAAAATCCGGTTAGTAAGTGACTAGTGTAATGTGTCCAGTCGTTTCTTTGGCGCAGATTGATTTCCATCAAGCCAAGTTTGCAATGTGGCCACCATGCCAGGCGGCTTACCATCACAGTGCATTCTGAACTGTTGTAATTATATGATTGGACCGAGTCGGCCTCAGGAAGACTTGCGTGCCCTAGGTTTCATGCTTGTTTGCACTCACCAGTCAGTCAGCAAGGCGTCTCTGCAATGTAGAAGGAACTTATATCTCTTCTGAGATTCGAACCGGTGTCACACAGTGTTGCAGTCATATAGGTTACCAGTGAGCTATTCAGGTTTACGATTGACCTTCTATAAAACTGTACTTGATGCTTTGATTGGACCCTAGTTAGCATCTAGTGTCCAATCAAAGTATCCAATGTAGTCAGTCGTGAGCCCGAACAACTCAGTGGTAGCGTCACAGACTGCAGAACTGATTGTTACTGGTTCTAATCTAAGAAGGGACATAAGTTTCTTCAAGGTTTCAGATAGTCTTTGGTGAATGATTAGGAACTACCAACAAGCACAAAATCTAGGTCGAAGCCCTAATGTGGTCGATTTCCTCCAACCATCTAGTATCAAGAGTAATACAGTTTTCAGTCGATTCACTATTGTCGCCAATAGTCAGCATATCATCTAGTTAGCGTCTATACAGCGTAAAGTTTCCTAGCATACCTTGCTTTTGTTTCTCCGATTTTGATATAAATACCTCCACTAACAAGGAGCTCCCCATTGCAATTTGTATACTTTTTCTCGCGTTGGATGTGTTTCTTGTACCTCTCAAGCGAAGAATACCTCTAATGTCATCGCTTTAATTTTTCTTGTTTGTAATTTTTCTAAAAATCTATTTTAGGATAATAATTTAGTCCGGCATTTAGATGCTTGTGAAACAATGGGTAATGCAACAGCCATTTGTTCTGATAAAACTGGCACACTGACAACAAATCGGATGACAGCAGTACAATGCTTTATTGGCAATAAACACTATAAGCGGATACCGACAGCTTCAGAACTACCTGAAGGAGTTATCAATACTATTGTAATGAATATATCAATTAATAGTGGGTATACATCGAAAATTTTAGTAAGTTGAACAATATTTTCTGTGTGTGCATGTATGTGTATGTGTGTTTGTTAAAATTCTGTGTAAACCTTCTAGTACCAATTTTAATAATGACCAAAAACATTTGTCTAAAGCAAGAAAAACAGTATGTTCTTCTTTGTTTGCTCAGAATTAGATGTTGCCAACATTGTTATTTTCATACATTTATTCCCCTTAATGAATTTAAACAAAACAAGAACTACAGTTTTAGCAGAGAAGAATAAAGTGGTACCATCTTTTATTTCGTTGCCTTCTCATCAGCTGCTTACAGGCCACAGTCATTATTAAGTATATCTACAAAAACAGTTTTAACACACTTGCACAGAGATCATTTTAAACAAAAATCAATCGATTAATATATGCATACAGTAATAATATATATATGTAATATTAAACACTATTCCGAACAACAATAATAATCACACACACTGGAAACTTTTCAGCATTACGCATTCAGATGAAAGAGAGATGAAAATATCCAGTTGCCAGGTAGAGCAAAAAAAGACTGATAACCGCTTCTTTCTGGACGCATAAATCAGGTTTCAGGCGCTTGATGGAAATGGCTTCAGCAAATTTGAAGAGAATTGAGCTCTTATGCCTATTGATAATTTTGAACGACTTTACGACGGCCACCTCATGCATGACCCGTGTCAAGGAGATGTCTGGCAATGAATGGCACTTTTCAAAGCATTTGCTCCCTTTAGACATAAGCTTTTCGGTACATATTGAGAAAATCGTAGATATGCCATTCTTTCTATAGTTCCTATGTAACTGCTCCCGCAGATACATGTAAATTTCTATATACAGTTGGAGTTAACATGAGAAGGATGTCTATCTATTTGTGATTGCACCAAAGAAGAAGTTGTTCGATAGACGGGGACGAGCTTAGCTGCTGGATAGGTTATGACTATGTCTAAAGGGAGCAAATGCTTTGAAAAGTGCCATTCATTGCCAGACATCTCCTTGACACGGGTCATGAGGTGGCCGTTATAAAGTCGTTCAAAATTATCAATAGGCATAAGAGCTCATTTCTCTTCAAATTTGCTGAAGCCATTTCCATCAAGCGCCTGAAACCTGATTTATGCGTCCAGAAAGAAGCGGTTATCAGTCTTTTTTTGCTCTACCTGGCAACTGGATATTTTCATCTCTCTTTCATCTGAATGCGTAATGCTGAAAAGTTTCCAGTGTGTGTGATTATTATTGTTGTTCGGAATAGTGTTTAATATTACATATATATATTATTACTGTATGCATATATTAATCGATTGATTTTTGTTTAAAATGATCTCTGTGCAAGTGTGTTAAAACTGTTTTTGTAGATATACTTAATAATGACTGTGGCCTGTAAGCAGCTGATGAGAAGGCAACGAAATAAAAGATGGTACCACTTTATTCTTCTCTGCTAAAACTGTAGTTCTTGCTTTGTTTAAATTCATTAAGGGGAATAACATTCTTGTTGATAAGAGTAACTAGCGTTCAAATCGAGTGTTGACCACTTATTCTCTTAGATGAATTTTAATAATAATATTAATAATAATTTGCTTTATTCCAAAACAGTACTTATCATACAGAATGGAATTCTCAGCATTTCACTATATACAGTATTGCATCCAGTTTGTACACTAACAATAAATAAAATTCTACATAAGTTAAGGGTAATCTTAGTTCGTTTTGACAACAACATATTGGCATGTCGATAGCAAAACCCAAATTAAACAGAGTGTTTGAAGGTGTTTAGAAAAGTAGATGCTAGCATATTTACTGGCGTAAGCGGCAACCAAAAGGTCAAGATGTACAGAGTGTGAAAGAATGAAGAAGGATGTTTTAAGTAGAGTTTGTAAGGAAGAGAGAAACAAAACAGCACATAACAAAAACGAGAAAAGGAAAAGAGAGAAAGAAAACGCTGCACCTATAAATGATATGAGTTGGTAAGACGAGATCCAATTGTTATACTGACTATTTAATAAGTGATAAGTTTCACGCCTAATACTTCCTTTGTCGCACAGAACACGATCCAAGTAGGGTATGGTTGAGTTTTTGTATTTGCTAATGCGAGCGTTTTGGCTCTTCCTGATGAGATACAAGGGGAGAGTTGTGAATGAGGAGGGTGGTGTGAGTTAGATAAAATGGATATTGCCCATTTTTCACATGAGTCCAAGTGACTATCAACCAGAATATTAACAAGCTGGTTAAGTGGAACATTGCTTACCCTGCTGACAACCTTTAACACCCTACGTAATAAGATATAGTCCTTCTTCAGTAACCCTGGGAAAACCAAGGGGGAACAATAGAGAATAATAGGCAGGATGCAAGAGTTAACGAATCGTAAGAGTAAGGGTAGGGTTATTGTAGAATGTCTTAACTTCTTGATGTAGAACGTAAGACGGAATATTTTCTTAGAAATCATCAAGATATGAGACGACCAGGAAAGATCGGCAGATAGAATGATGCCAAGATATTTAATTTCCGACTTGGTCTCTATTTCAGCGCTTTCTATGTTGCACACCTCGTGAGTGCTAACCAGTTTGTTTAGGTTAGTCAGATTTGTTCCTAAAGGTGAAATTGACTGTTTAACATTCAGTGGGATTTAAGGTAAGACCGTTTTCTTTGGACCACTGGCTGATTTTTGATAAAAAGCCATTTAGTTTCGAGGTGTCACTTTGACACTTGACAGGCAAAGATACAGTCAGGTCTTCAGCATGTTTAACAAAATTAATGTCATTTGATGATGGTAAGTCATGTAGAAAGAAAGAAAAGAGAGGTAGGGAGAGTGCAGCACCTTGAGGGACACCAGCTTCAGGGGGCACAGCAGAGGAGGATTTGCCTTTGTAGACGGTATATTGCATTCTGTTTGAAAAGTAGGAATGCGACCAGTTGGTGACCCAGGACTCAGTTTGTGTCATGGAGAGCTTATTTAGCAATAGACATCTAGGTACAGAGTCAAAAGCAGAAATGTAGTCGAGAAACGTGCAACGAACGTACTTGGCACCTCTATCTAATGATGAGACGATACTGTCGTGTAAGACGACTGCAGCGTCTAAAGTGCCCCTGCCCTGTCTATAAGCAAATTGTTTGGGGTCTTCAAAAATTTTAAGGGAGGGTTCAAGTTTAAGAAGTACTAGTTTTTCCATAAGCTTTAGAAACGGGGAAGTAATGGCAATGGGTCTGAATTTAACATTCTTGCTGTTTCCTGGTCTAGGGACAGGGACTGTTTTCATGTCTTTACATGGGACAGGTACAACGTTTTTGGAAAAAGAAACGTTTAGGATGTTAGTAAGTGAAGAACATAAAGCATTTGCACACTCGTATAGAACATAACTAGGTACACCATCAGGGCCAAGGCTACGTGAGGGCTTAAGCGTTTTAAGACATTTTAGAACATCAAGAGTATTAAAGTCATGAAAGTTATCAACTGCGTGATTTGTAACACTAGAAGTTATTACAGTAGAAGGAGAACGTATATTAGACTGATTAAGAGCGTAAACATCATAATAAGAGGGAAAAAATATGGCATCGCTTTCTATTGCCAGTAATTTCGTTGAAAAGTTTCCACATTTTGGTAAGAGATTTGCATGATAGAAGTAGGAGTTTTGTAGGCAATTTTGTTTGATTAGTTGGAGGATTTCAGTTATGAGCTGTGAAATCAGTCAGAGTACCAGTGGAAAACCAGCACTGGAGTACTGCCAGACAGCTGTTTCATCCGCCTAGTTTGGGACTCTTCATCAGTACGCACTTAACACAGGAGGTTCGAACCTAGTACTTTATTGTTACAAGGCAAGCTCCTAGACCTGTGACCTAATGGTCTACCAGCTCACCTTTTTATGCCTTGTTAGTGATGTTTATCACAGAATTATTGTTTTATCTTAAGTTAAGACCACAATGTTCAACGAATTTATTATTAAGCTTTACAATCGTGTAAATATGGTTTTTAAGAAATTATATCCGGTAAGGGAATTAGGTCAAAGGTGTGGATGCCTGAAATAATATTATTTATTAAAATATTTGTGATTATAATCATGGTTTAATGTCAAGTGGCAAAGCAAATTAATGTCGTATATAGAATAAATAAATGTCTATCCCTCTACGGCCTAGGCAGAAGTAGGGATTGTACATACTTCTTTTGTACACAAAGGCCTGGCTTAAAGTCATGAATTGCCAAGGTCTCAGCTGTCTTTAGAAGTCTGTAACGAAGAAAACGCGGCCGGCAAGTTAGCATGCATTCTATATGTGATCTTGGAATCATCGTCAGGGTTGACCGAGTGACAGAAATCGATCAGGTGTTCCAGAATAGAGCTTCGCACACACTTCCTTTCTCCCTTATAAAACCGTGCTGGAATATGTTCTCGTATCCGTGTGGAAAGCGTCCTCTGATTAACGGCCAATGTGCCCTGCTCCACAAGAGCAGGTGAACTGATGGATGCACATGGAGATGGCCAGACGGGGGAGCTTATCTTTTACAGAGTTAGAGAACAATTTGCAGCTCATGGACGTCATATGTAATTTTGCTGCAGGGAACGTCTTACTGACTGCTTTAGAGAGATGGGTTTTGAGCATATCTGAAGCTTGATCACCTTTGAATTCCAAGTTCGTGAATAAGGTTTTCTTTGGAACTTAGACGGTGACCAGTTTAGACTGCTTATCTTTCATCTTGCTGTCAATAAATCAGTTAGGGTAACCATTTTCTGCGAATGTGGCTTTTTAACTATTCAAGTTCAGAGTCAATGCAATCAGAACTACACATTTTCCTTATCCTAAAGCAAAGTGAATGAATTAAGTTCCTTTCCCTGGAAATAGGCACCCAACTGTAAAAATTAGTTAGTTGTCTGTTCCATGTACGTGTCCGGTGGATAGATCTTTTGAGAGGTGCGTCATTACGTCTGCTAAGTATCTTAAATTAGTGAATAGGATATTCGATGATTTGTCATGTATGTATATTATTATATAATTCGATTGTTCTTTCGTGTATTCTTTGTATTTAGCCTCCAGACACTGCAGGTGGTTTACCAAAACAAGTTGGCAATAAAACAGAGTGTTCTTTATTAGGCTTTGTTAAATCAATTGGACGTAGTTATGAAGACATTAGAGCACAATGGAGTGAAGAACGCTTATACAAAGTGTATACATTCAATTCTGCACGAAAATCAATGAGTACTGTGATTAAAGAATCTGATAATCCTTTAACATTTGTATTATTCAATAAAGGTGCTTCTGAAATGGTTGTAAAATGGTAAGTTATTGATTTTATTCCCCCTCCCCCACCACCACTATCTATTTAATTTTTAACTGATTAAAAATGTCCATTAAAATCTTTTTGGCAAAGTTAAACTTTCGACACCACTTACAACCAATCAGCAAACGACCTTGAACGGACCAGTCACATTAAAGAGGCATATATGATGAATGGAAATGTATATTTGTAGAAAAAAGCATAAAATAGAGAATAAAAAAGTTACATGGGTTATCTTTCTCGAACATGTGAGAGAAACATCTCCCAGTTCAGCATGGGACAGTCAATGGAGAAGTTACACCATATCCTGTACATATATTCATCCAAATGACCATAAATGAGATCCCTTTATAGCCCTTGTCCTATTTTTCAACCTGCCCCAAAATCCTTCAATAGAATTTGTATGTGTCCTCGTAACGGGATCCACAAAATCACTTGAATGGTTGACTCTGTGATGAATATATCCCAGAGATGACAGTGAATTGTAGCCTTTCCACTCGTCGGTGTGTATAATTGACCCCCGCTTAACAAGTCTGGTAATAATAGGTATAAGAGTAGTTGCTTTTCTATCTGCTATCCTTAAGGAGAGAAGCGACCTAGCGAAAAAAGTTCCTACGAAATATTAAAATTATCAGCTTAATCTCTCTAGCGTTAGTAGACTTCAAACATATAGCACAACGATGAACAAACCCATCAGTTGATTTGGTATAGCTTTTTAAAGTTGTGATACCACCACACAAACAAATTCGCTATTTCCGGCGCAACTCAAATCCAGGAAATACTGGAAAACGCTAACCTCCTCGAATTGCAACAATAGCTTTGTAAGGTCACGCATTAGAAATGAATCAAGCTCTATAAAACATTGAACTGCGTTCGTGAACCTCATTCGATAATTCGATATCGTTCGTGAATCTCATTGGATAATTCGCTGATTGGTAGTTAGTGGTGTCGAAAGTTTAACTTCGCCATCTTTTTCAAAAGAATGGATACTGAGCAAAGAGTACTCTTTTCAATAACCTCTTCATCATCAGGTTCTACAGTTATATATACATTCATAATGGCTAATGAATGAATTAGTGTTATGAACAACATAATATCGTTGTTTAAATAACATCGAATCAGTAAGTAATATTGGTAGATTACAGCTAAATAGCATCAACATAAGGCTAGCTGAATGTCAGAAAAATGAGGAAAGATAATATTGCAAGTTCGTGAATTTATAATCTCTACTCAAGGCTGGCCAGGGCAGTAGTGGTGGCTGGACTTGCTTCTTTTGAACACAGAGCACTGGTTGTTTGAGGTGAATTGCAATAGCCTCTGCAGTTTGGAGCATGCGGTGCTTCGATGTTTTTGGCAATTTATCAGGCATCCGGTATAATATACAAAAGATTCTTCCAAGCTGCCTTTGTGGCCAGTTTGCACCAGATGGTCCAATGTGGAGCTGCTAATACTTTTCACTACACCTTTACTTAGCCATAATGGGAGATGTTCTCCAGTGGGCACGAAAAATCAAGTTCCTAGAGCAATGGCCAATAAAATTTGCCCCACATGTGCAGTTGAATTGGAAGATACAATTAGAAGTGGCTAGCTAGTCTACGTACTTCATCTTCTAGTCGAGGAATCACCATCGGTCGTGTAGAGAATAAGACGTGTAGTTCGCCAGCATTAAAAGTTCTTCGACCTGATTTTCTTAATTTCCTCGTAATTATCTCACTTGGTGTATCGCCTTTGAATTGTAATCGTATATAAAGAGGGTTCTTGTTTACAGGTAGTGAGTAGTCCTTTTCTGCCGCCTTCTTTGTCATGTGTTTCTTGATAAATTTGTCGGGATAGCCAGATATTTTCGATCAAAGTATCATATACAATGCTTAATTCATATTCAATTACTTCTTCTGAGCATATAGCTCTAACTCTGTGGCCTAGTGAGGATCTTCACTGAATTTCTTTTGTACCTGATAGGAACGAAGCTGTGGAAATGTGTATATTGATTGTCCTGTCCAAGTACTTTTTCTATGTAAATTTCTTTCTATGCTACCATCTGGTTTCCTTATAAACTAGGACATCCAGGAAGGCAATTATTCTGTCAGCCAGAATGGGACCCAATGGGGAGTCCATTGCCACCCGTCCAATTGAGACATTTTAGTCAATTATATTACGTCATCTAACTTACTAACTCAATCTTACTTTAGTTGCTGTCTAATTAATCTTGTTTCTTTCTATATTAGATCATTCTTGTATTACCTAATTAATTATCTAAACTTGACAAACCTCATGTACAAAAATAGCTATATATAAATACGATTGTACAGCTAGCTATGTGAATGAATTTAGCCGTCGAAAAGAGTCTCCTCGCTGAACGTCTTCTCTTTTTCATATGACTCCATAATGGGAATTTTCAAGCTACTCAAACTAAAAATGGAATGTGATGCAATATACTACTGATTGACCAATATGAGTAGATAGATACAAACACCTCATATCAACTAGGAATGGTGAAGTTTTCATCACCTGGAATTCTGATAGTTATAAATCACAAATATTATTCAACCAACATATTACTATCAGTTCACTGAAGTAACAACTCGAGATATGGATCTCTAAGTTGAGTCAAACTAAGCGCAGTAACACTGCTGATGAAGTCGGCGTCGAACGAGTCATCATTCAGTGCTTAGATTACTGCGACCCGACTGGTTGGTTGGCTGGCTAGCCAGCAGGCATTATTGGTTGATGTGAGTGTGCTATCCACCAACTAGTGACAGAGTGTGTTTCTGATTTCTAAGGGAAATTTAGGTACTGTGCAAAGAACACATCACGAATTATTTTTGTTTTACAAATTCAGAATTTGTTATAATAGAGGATTTTGTATTTCCCAATGAATGAAAAACAAAACGAGATTGTTTTTACTGACGTTTCGCTATTTAATGCTAATAGCTTTCTCAAAGTATTATTAAATCGGAATTTACAAATCTCAGCATATATATAACAAAGAGTTAGGGGTTGAGAAAAATATGGTTTAAAACTTTAAAAAATCATGTCTCAAAAAGAAAAATTCTCTTGCATTATGGATGGGAACATAGGCGAAAAATTAAAAAAAATAGCGACCAGAAGGGACCAGCACATCAGAGAGTTTGAACGCTCTCCGCTTCACTGAATTACAGAACCTGTCGTCCATTATACATAAAAATGCCGTTTATTTACTAGAAACGTTTCGGTAGTAGTGGTGTTGATTATTTTTACGGGATGGGGTTGTTAGCCTCATGTCCAACCTTTCCTCTTTACCAGTCTTATTACTGCCTTGACGAGGTAAAGGAATGTGTCGGTGGCCGGGGATCAAGCCGAAAACCACATGGGGCGTGGTTAGCGAGCATTCCACTGCTGTGGCACCGACTGGAATAGGCACGATCTGTTTTCCTTGTAAGTAGGACATCCAGGAAGGCAATTATTCTGTCTTGGAATTCCTCTTCACATGTGAATTTCATAGCCGAATGTACTTCATTGAATTCAGTAATTATTGTACTTCTATCATAACCGTTATCGTAAAGAATGCAGGTATCATCCATATATCGGCAATAAAATTAGAGCTTACCGATAAGATTGTTCAGAGGTCCATTTTCTAGCCAGAATGGGATCCAATGGGGATTCCCCTATTTATTTACTTTTTGATTATTGAAGGATAATTTTTGCAGCGTAATACATATATATATATATATATATATATATATATATATATATAGTACATGTATATAGTCTAGAAGATCTAAATTTCGCGTGTGAATTATTATATGATTTGATAGTGTGAAATATTCCCATAGTATGAATTAAAAGTCAATCTGAACGAAGAATATTCTTTTCAATATTCTTTACAATAAGATCGGAACTTTGTGTCCAAAAAGAATACGTCCAGACGCTCTTCCTACTCTGGCCAAACTTGGATTGATGATCTTTCTTCTCACCAAGAGTGCTGCTTCCCCTTAACCCCCTTGGTTTTTTTTAATTTGCTTATTATTATAAATATTATTATTAGAGTTATTATTATTATTCGTCGTAATTTGTGCCCTTGATGCAAACATTCCCTCAATACTATCGAATTTTTCATTTATACTATCCGGACTTATTATTAGTGATATTATCTGTTTTCTCAACATATGCCTCCACCTGTTTCATTTAACATATTCGTCATCTCATTATGAACCTCTCATTGCAGTCTTAGTATCTCCTGTTTACCACAGACCACTTTGTACTAGCGACTCACTTACCTGACACCTTCTATAACCTTGAACTGATTTGTCAATTTTCCTACCCCACACTCTACAATTCTATTATGACCTATCACCACCACTGTCTCCCGTTTTACAATATTTTGTAATCGATTTCAGCCAACTAGCACGGCGTTTGTCACACAAATACGACTAATTATTTTGACACGCCATAACTACTAATCTGTTATTCTACGTTAAAAATGTATCTACCGCATCACTGGCCTTTATTGTAAGTAACGACCACAAATATTGCATATTTTATAATTGTAAGAACCTGAAGAGGAGAAATTATTGAAAAGAATATTCTTCGTTCAAATTGACTTTGAATGATTATATATTTAATGTCACACAAACTCGTAGACTTTTTAGGCAAGTGAAAACCAATTAAACTGGCTAAAAGAAAACTGACAGTAAAGACAGCACTCCAGGTGAACATCGAGAAGACGGAGGTGTTGAAGATAACCAATGAACCGCAGCAACAACAACAACAATCAGCACCAGTCACACCACCAATGGGAGAGATTTAACAGAGGTTACCTCCTTCATTTATCTAGCTAGGAAGTACTTTCAACCACATACACTCAGTCGAAGCGGATGAAGATGTCAGAGAAATCCAGTGAGGATCAGAAAGGCAAGATACACCTTCATGAACCTGAAACTAGTTTGGAAATCTTCTGCACTCAGTCACTCAGCATATAGAGCAAGATTTGTTCGGATTTTGTTCAACACAAATGTGAAATC